GCTTGAGGCCAGCCTTATGTAGCAGTCGTCGAGGTTGTCTAGCCTCGGGTGCCTTGTCCCCAGTCGTCCAGATTGACTCACATCTCAAGGCCCGGATTGTTCAGTTACAGACTTCTCCCTTGGACCTGATGTTGTCTGGGTACCTGCATACAAACAATTGTGTGTGCTTCACCTGCGGCCTAGGCTAGGTACCTTTGGACTTTCAACTGTCACACGCCCAGGCCCTGAAATCGTGAAGGGCCTTTTTTGCCCGTATTGGGCCTGGGCTGAGGGCGGCCATGTAGGCCTTCAGATGGCCGTCAGTTCCATGAGACATATGGCATGGGTTATTGCATATGTAGCGAACCGGGTGTCGTAAGCAGAGGAGTGGCCTTGTCGCCACGATTTGTTGAGATTTGTATCTTTGTTCCCAACAAGTTAAGAAAAAAAAAGAAAAAAAAAAATAAAAAAAAATGAAGAGACTTGCTATAGCATGTCTATCGCCTGGGAATAAAAGGACCATCATTGGGTTCTGGCGGTGATTATCATAACTTTTCAGACCTCTCTGCTACTGATCAGCTCTCTTCTTCCCCCAAGCTACTATTGATGAACAGAGAGGTGAGTTTTTACTGCTTATGATTTTTTTGGCAATGAAGTTTCAGCTTGTTTTAAACAAACAACAAAAGAAAAAAAAAAGATTTTCCACTTACGCATGTGTGCTTCGGTGGGAAATCGCCCCCTCAGCTCCAATTAGACCCCATAACCAACTGGCTATTCAACCGACCGGCTATTCCACCAATTAGCTATTCAAACAACTGGCTATTATCAACGCACTGGTACACCCATGAACTGTTCAAAAGACAGACCTGAAGACACTCTTCGTTTGAAAGAGGCAATAAAAAACAAAGTGGCGTAAAAATTTAAAAAAAAAAAAAAAAAAAAAAAAAAAAAGACAAAGTGGCACCAGTGTCATGTTGTGAGTTTCCAAATGTGCAAGTTTTAAACCACCAGTACATGGCCCAGTTATCGGCCACAAGAGAAAAAAAACAGAGTAGAAATGTTTCTAGTTGGATGAATTTGGGCGCTCCTGTAGTGACCCGTACGTTTCCTAAATTTGTGGCTTGTTAACGGGCACGACTTTTGAAAGTACTACTGGTGGTTTAATTTAGGGGGGGTCTAAAACCTCAAACTGCGCTTTCTTGGCACTGCCAGGTTGAGGGTCGCCTGGTTTAATTTAGCGGGGGGCCTAAAGTAAAATTGCCTATTTTGAACGACGTTGGGTGGGACTTCAACGTACTTGGCCCGTGGAATAATTCTGAATAACCTGGGGCCGATTAAATCTTTGGTATTATTTAAGGTCATCGCCCTTACAAAAAAAGAGAAAAAAAAGAAGGAAAAAAAAAAGCGAAAATTGTATTTGTACCCCACTTAAACCACCAGTACCTAGCCGTTGTTAAAGCCCGTGGCTCAGCCTACTGGTAACCCGAACCTTGTCGAGCCTCGAGCTACCGGTAGGTACCAAAAAAATAAAAATAAAAAAAAACAAAAAATAAAAAAACGACAATTCTTCTGCCCAAAAAAACAAGAAATCAAAAAACAAAGAAGGCCCGTACCTCCACTACTCTTGACATTTGCAAAACGAGAGTGAATCTTCCGCGCGAACATGGAAAGATACACTGTGATGATTTTTGTCTCTTCTGCATGTCGAGGGACGCCCACTGACAGTGACTGACGCGGAGTTCACAGAGAGAGAGAGACGTCGAGTTTGGCGCATCAAACTCGGTGTGWCTCTCTCTCTCTCTCTCTCTCTCTCTCTCTCTCTCTCTCTCTCTCTCTCTCTCTCTCTCTCTGAACGCGCATTGGAAGATAAAAGCAGGATGCGCTGCTACTCCCTATGTGCAAAATAAGAATGAATCTTCCGCAAAAACGCGGCTAGATTCTCTTATTCTTTCAAGTTTGAAAGAGCGCGCATGCTCGTGAAAGAGAGAGAGAGAGAGTCTGGCTCCACTTCTACTGAAATTTGCAAAACGAGAGTGAATATTCCGTGCGAACATGGAAAGGTACATTATGATGATTTTTGTTTTTTCTGCATGTTGAGCGAGGCCCACTGACCCCCCCCTCTCTCTCTCTCTCTCTCTCTCTCTCTATCTATCTATCTATCTATCTATATATATATCTATCTCTATCTATCTATCTATCTATCTATCTATCTATCTATCTATCTCTATCTCTCTCTGAACACGCATCAGGAGATAGAAGCAGAAGCGTTGAAGCCGCTACTCGCTGTGTGCAAAATGAGAATGAATCTTCCGCAAAAACGTGGGTAGATTCTTTCTCATTCTTTCAAGTTTGAAAGAGCGTGC